GGAGACCATCGAGACCACGGGGATGGACGACGACGAGCAGCAGCCCATGATCGCGCTGCAGCCGCTGCTCACAGACGACCCGAGCCAGCTCCACCAGCACCAGGAGGTGATCCTGGTCCAGACCCGCGAGGAGGTGGTCGGCGGCGACGAGTCGGAGCTCCAGGAGGACGACGGCTTCGAGGAGCGGATCCTCATCCCGGTGCCCGCCGAGGAGCACTACATCGGGCAGACGCTGCTGACAGTCGCCGGCAGGAGCTCCGCGGGGCGGCTGGGGAAGAGAGCGGCGTCGGGGGGCAAGAAAGCGGGCAAGAAGAGCTACCTGAGCGCGGCGGAGGCCTGCGGGAGGAAATGGGAGCAGAAGCAGGTGCAGATCAAGACTCTGGAGGGCGAGTTCTCCGTCACGATGTGGGCTTCGGGTGAGTCTCCTTCCCTCGGAGGGACAGCGGGGCCCTCAGCAGGGCGTTGTCCGTCCGCAGCGCGTGCCGTTCCGCGGTCGCTCCTCGCCGCGAGCGCTGTCTGCAGCGGCAGTGCGGGCGCATCCGACCGGGTGTTTTTGTTTTGAACGGAGGCCATGTTTTTAGCTCTCGATGGGCGCCGCCATGTTCCCCGAGTCCAGTATGGCGGCCCGTAAAGATGGCGACGGTGCGGCGGCTTGAAGAGGGCGCGAGCGCGCTGCAGCTGCCGCGTGTAGGCCGCGAGACCGTTAAAGACCGTTAAAGGGGCCGTTCACATATCGCGTCTCTTGCGCGCTCAAGTTCGTTATTTCAAATGTAGACGCTCATACTGGAAGCGACGCGCTGATGTTTTCCAGGCATCCAGATAAACACATCTCAACTTTTCAGAATGCCGCAAGCGCACCGCGGGTCATGTGACAAGAACCAACCAATCAGCTTCATCCTTTCCCGTAACAACATTGAAAGCGCAGCCAAGATGAAGGAACAGCTGATCATAGCTGTACAGGGATAGACATTTTTAAAATAAATTTAGTAGTAGAGCTACTGCAAGCCAGTTTTAGTGCTGCTAATCCATTTACACTTTGCTGAAACTTCCGCGTCTTCATGGAGAGCGCAGGTCATGGTTGCTTAGCAACGGCAGACGCCTCCCACGCGCCCGAACGCTTTGGGGGAAAGCAGAAAGCGGCGCGTCTAGCGTATTCCACGCGTTTTAGGCGCGACATGTGAATGGCCCCAAAGACCGTTAAACGTTTGAATTTCGACTTCGGCGGGAAGCGCGCGCGCCTCTTCGGATTTAGATCTCCGTGCAGGTGTGGCGCTTGTTTGTTTGTTTCTAACGTTTAGAGCTGAAACGAGCTTCCAGCGCGCGTGTGTGTGTGTGTGTGTGTGTTAGCTAGCAGTGGTTAGCAGAACTAGGTTGGGGTGGTTAGATGTTAGAGTTCTGACAGAAATCGTGTGTTTATTTGGGCTTTGATGTTTTGAGGTGTTTTCGGTCGTTGTTGTTGTTGTTGTTTACTCGAAGGACCCGGATGTTCCGGTCGTCGCTCGCGGGGCGGACACGCTGTAGTCTATTATAAACCTCTGGTTTCCGCGACTGTTACACTGCTAACTGATCAGATCCCGTCTGTGTTTCAGATGACAAGAAGGACAGCGCTCACGAGACGGTGGTGGAGGAGCAGATCCTCGGGGAGAGCTCTTCTCCGGATTACTCCGAGTACATGACGGGAAAGAAGCTGCCGCCCGGCGGCATCCCGGGGATCGACCTCTCGGACCCGAAGCAGCTGGCGGAGTTCGCCAGGTCAGAGACGGGGGTCAGCGGGGGTGAATATCAGGGTCAGACGGGGGTCGGCGGGGGTGAATATCAGGGACGGAGACGGGGGTCCAATGTGAGGCGAATCGGTTAACTTGCCTAACATCTGACTTCAGCACTTTCGACACCGAGATCAGATTAAAAAGCGGTTAAATCAGAGGCGGGGGTGAATATCAGGGTCAGACGGGGGTCGGCGGGGTTGAATATCAGGGTCAGACGGGGGTCGGCGGGGGTGAATATCAGGGACGGAGACGGGGGTCCAATGTGAGGCGAATCGGTTAACTTGCCTAACATCTGACTTCAGCACTTTCGACACCGAGATCAGATTAAAAAGCGGTTAAATCGCAGCAAAAAGTCGTGGCACTGCAAAAATGAATCTCTTCCTCAGTGTTTTTGTCATGTTTTCCAGTGCAAAGGTCAAGATGTATTTACTAGAGATGAAGATAGGAAGTCTTGTTTTCTGACAAAACTGAGTAAATATCTGTCGGTGTGGAATGAAAACCTCTTTACCGTTAAATAGTTCTTTCTTCTTCTTCTCCATCGGCAGATATTTGTTTGTTTTAATCATAAACTCACTTCATTTTGATTAGTTTCTCAGGAATCAAGACTCGTTATTTTATGTTCTGCATCTTCAGTAAATGTATTTTAAGAATCTTTTGTGTCAGATAACAAGACGTTTTACAGTGTGATCAGGAGTACAGTAAAAGTTATTTCCATATTCTAGTGTTTGGTTTTCTATATAAAACCACTGAAAACAAATATAGAAGTTAATTTCTGACCCTGATATGTGTGTGTGTATGTGTGAGAGCGCGTGTGTGTGTATGAGTGTGTGTGTGTGAGAGAGTGTGTGTGTGTGTGTGAGTGTGTGTGAGTGTGTGTGAGTGAGAGTGTGTGTGTGTATGACAGGTATTACAAGGAGAAGGTGACTTTTCAGGACATTACCCCATGTCCCCACTTTTCAAAACACTTATAAATCACACAGAATGGAGTGTATTGAAAATCTGAAATAGCACAAAGTCTCCTGTGAGGGGTAGGTTTAGGGGTAGGGTTGGTGTAGGGCAATAGAATATACGGTCTGTACAGTATAAAAACCATTACACCTATGGAGAGTCCCCACTTTTCACAAATGTAAACCTGTGTGTGTGTGTGTGTATGTGTGTGAGAGAGAGAGAGTGTGTGTGTGGTTGGCGGGGGTGAATATCAGGGTCAGAGACGGGGGGGAATATCAGGGCGGGGGTTGGCGGGGGTGAATATCAGGGTCAGAGACGGGGGGGAATATCAGGGCGGGGGTTGGCGGGGGTGAATATCAGGGTCAGAGACGGGGGGGAATATCAGGGCGGGGGTTGGCGGGGGTGAATATCAGGGTCAGAGACGGGGGGGAATATCAGGGCGGGGGTTGGCGGGGGTGAATATCAGGGTCAGAGACGGGGGGGAATATCAGGGCGGGGGTTGGCGGGGGTGAATATCAGGGTCAGAGACGGGGGGGAATATCAGGGCGGGGGTTGGCGGGGGTGAATATCAGGGTCAGAGACGGGGGGGAATATCAGGGCGGGGGTTGGCGGGGGTGAATATCAGGGTCAGAGACGGGGGGGAATATCAGGGCGGGGGTTGGCGGGGGTGAATATCAGGGTCAGAGACGGGGGGGAATATCAGGGCGGGGGTTGGCGGGGGTGAATATCAGGGTCAGAGACGGGGGGGAATATCAGGGCGGGGGTTGGCGGGGGTGAATATCAGGGTCAGAGACGGGGGGGAATATCAGGGCGGGGGTTGGCGGGGGTGAATATCAGGGTCAGAGACGGGGGGGAATATCAGGGCGGGGGTTGGCGGGGGTGAATATCAGGGTCAGAGACGGGGGGGAATATCAGGGCGGGGGTTGGCGGGGGTGAATATCAGGGTCAGAGACGGGGGGGAATATCAGGGCGGGGGTTGGCGGGGGTGAATATCAGGGTCAGAGACGGGGGGGAATATCAGGGCGGGGGTTGGCGGGGGTGAATATCAGGGTCAGAGACGGGGGGGAATATCAGGGCGGGGGTTGGCGGGGGTGAATATCAGGGTCAGAGACGGGGGGGAATATCAGGGCGGGGGTTGGCGGGGGTGAATATCAGGGTCAGAGACGGGGGGGAATATCAGGGCGGGGGTTGGCGGGGGTGAATATCAGGGTCAGAGACGGGGGGGAATATCAGGGCGGGGGTTGGCGGGGGTGAATATCAGGGTCAGAGACGGGGGGTCCAATGTGAGGCGATTCGGTTAACTTGCCTAAAATCTGATTTCAGCACTTTCGACACCGAGATCATATTAAAAAGCGGTTAAATCGCAGCAGAAAGTCAAAGTCGTGGCACTGCAAAAATGAATCTCTTTCTCAAGTGTTTTTGTTGTGTTTTCCAGTGCAAAGGTCAAGATGTATTTACTAGAGATGAAGATAGGAAGTCTTGTTTTCTGACAAAACTGAGTAAATATCTGTCGGTGTGGAATGAAAACCTCTTTACCATTAAATAGTTCTTTCTTCTTCTTCTCCATCAGCAGATATTTGTTTGTTTTAATCATAAACTCACTTCATTTTGATTAATTTCTCAGGAATCAAGACTCGTTATTTTATGTTCTGCATCTTCAGTAAATGTATTTTAAGAATCTTTTGTGTCAGATAACAAGACGTTTTACAGTGTGATCAGGAGTACAGTAAAAGTTATTTCCATATTCTAGTGTTTGGTTTTCTATATAAAACCACTGAAAACAAATATAGAAGTTCATTTCTGACCCTGATATATGTGTGTGAGAGAGAGTGTGTGAGTGTGTGTGAGAGTGTGTGTGTGTGTGTGTGTGTGTGTGTGTGTGAGAGAGAGAGTCACCACAGAAGAGAACACACTCAGCCTGCCCTGATCTGATGTTTCCAGCACAGCTACATTATATTAGGCCAGATTACTCTATTATATTACTTAGATGTATATTCTGCTTCTGTAAATCTGTCTAATCACTTATTTTATTTGTATTTCTAGTTTATATACTTATACATTAGTAATTAATTTTGCACTAAATGCGTAATACTTTTTATATATTATTATTATTACTATTGTTACTAATCTTTTTCTTTCTGTTAATACATGTGTACTATTTGTAAGCAGCCCAGCTACAATTGCTTTGGCAATACAAATGTATAATTTTTGTCATGATATAGTGCCAATGTCAGTTTCATTGTACTTCCAGTGAAAAGCTCCTCTTTTATTTTGATTCATGTCGAGTGAGTATTGATCAGTGATGCAGTGAGGACGTTCTGCTGCTTTGACCAGATGTTTACTGTGTTAGTTGTTTCATTTCTCAGCCCCTTCAGTCACAGCGGAGCTCATTTTGCTCGTAGTCCCGCTCGGTGAGTCTTACACTGAATCTCTCACCTGAGGGCTTGTTATTGGTCACTGGAGCATCTGGGGTCACTGGGTAACTGCAGCACTATACGTCACGGGTGGAAGTGCTTTAGATGTCGTCTGATACGCAGAGCATGCTGGGTAACTGATCTCTGATGTCGTTGTGTTGGTTTAGAATGAAGCCGAGGAAGATCAAGGAAGACGACGCGCCTCGAACGATAGCCTGCCCGCACAAAGTGAGTGGATGTGTGTGTTTGTCTTTAGCACTGGGACTCGACCGCTCCGATCACACGCTTCTGCTGTGTTTCTGACAGGGCTGCAGTAAAATGTTCAGGGATAATTCAGCCATGAGGAAGCACCTGCACACTCACGGCCCGCGGGTCCACGTGTGCGCCGAGTGCGGGAAAGCCTTCGTGGAGAGCTCCAAACTCAAGCGCCATCAGCTGGTTCACACCGGAGAGAAGCCCTTCCAGGTACGTCATCAGACCGGAAAACACTCACGTCGGTTATAATGGGAACTAGAGCCCGACCGATGTGGATTTTTTGGGACCGATACCGATATTAGGGAGTAAAAAAAGACTGATGCCGATATATCGGCCGATATTCTTTGTGTATATTATAGTACAGTACCAGTCAAAAGTTTGGACACTTTCCCATTCGTGTGTCCAAACATTTGACTGCTACTATATATAGAATACAGTATATACATAAACAGAATATATATACACAAACACATTTTTTGCAATGATCGCTCAAACGTGGTGATCAAACACTTATAATGGTGACAGAGATATTTAAGGGCATTTAACAATAAACTTGCGATGAGTGCGATGCACAAAGTAACGGGGTGTTAGTTGTAACACACGTGGTTTGAATATTTATTTTACCATAGTAACATTTAAATTCTGGCTTAAGTAAATTGTTTATCTCAGTTTTTATTATTCATTTAAAATGAGACAAATCTGCTATTATTTTAATCTCCAATCTGTTATTTATCAGTTCAGATAGTTTTTTAATGCTTTGTTAACTCCAGTTGCACACTAACCAGTTTTAAATTCCAGTTGCGTCTCATTCGAAAGAGGGCCTCGAGACGTACACTCGAGAGGGTTCCTTGAGCTGAAGAGATCCCCCGAATTTGGTGCGGATTCTCCGCGCTGTTATGGAGATATGGTCATTCAAAGTTTCAATGGTTTTCCATTGACTTAAGCTTTAAAGCGTTTCCTCCAGCTCGCCAGTAGCAAACAATGGAGCGCGCTCTGCTGGACAAGCTACGGTATTACACCATTTCAAGCATTTTATCTGCATTATATGTTCTGTAAAAAAAAAATTTCATATCGGCGGCATATTCGCCGATACCGATATATCGGTGACAGACTCATATCGGCCGATAATATTATATATCGGTCGGGCTCTAATGGGAACGGCAGCCACGTTAAATAGAGAGCAGAGTTGCCTCCATGTCTAGACCACTGCCTCAGACGGCTGACTAGGGCCCTAGGAAACACATTAGATTTTCCCCCAAATTTTGAAAAAAAAAAAAAAAAACATTTTAGTTTTAATGGTTAAATTAAATTTTAATAATCAAAAAGCATGCCTAATTGATTGAAGTCATGAAACATAGACAATTTAACAACAATGTATTGCTTAAGTTAAAAAAAGTACACATTTAGAGCTCTTCCAAAATTGTTTCCCTAGGTTTTTTTTTTTGTTGCATTTTAATGGTTTAAATTTTAATAATCAAAAAGCATGCCTAATTGATTGAAGTCATGAAACATAGACAATTTAACAACAATGTATTGCTTAAGTTAAAAAAAGTACACATTTAGAGCTCTTCCAAAATTGTTTCCCTAGGTTTTTTTTTTTGTTGCATTTTAATGGTTTAAATTTTAATAATCAAGAAGCGCAAAAGTCTAATCATTTTCATAAAACTTTAACAACTCAAAAATTACATTAATATGGCAGTATGAAATGTTTTACTTGTTTTTTCTTTAATACAAATGTATTATCAAAGACGGTGGTAATCAAGGCATTGACGATTTAATTAAACTTTTAAAATAGAATCAAATGAAAATGTAACATTTCCTTTTTCTTTTTTCCACAACAGAGGTTTACTGTTAAAATTAAAATACGGTGGAAAGATTGTGTGATATTCTTAAAAAAAAAAAACACAGTTTTAATATTGTTATTACTCTGAGATGATATTATGGTAATATATGTTTTACAGTTCAAGCACAGCTGTATTTGGGCGGGCTGCAGTGAGTCTCTGGTGTACCTGAAGCAGTGTTCCTGATCTTATTCTGATCATCGTGTGTCTTCTCGCCGCGTCTCTAACCGTCTGTGCTTCTCTCCGTCTAGTGCACGTTCGAGGGCTGCGGGAAGCGCTTCTCTCTGGACTTTAACCTTCGGACGCACGTCCGGATTCACACCGGGGACCGGCCCTACGTTTGCCCCTTCGACGGCTGCAATAAAAAGTTCGCTCAGTCCACCAACCTCAAATCACACATTCTGACACACGCCAAAGCCAAAACCAGCCAATGAACTGCGGCGCGGCGTGGTGTCCTCAAGCATCGTAACACTGGAGACGTGAAGCCGTGCTCCAGCTCTCGCACACGGACTGGAAGGAAGCGCCGCCAGTGACTGGAAACGCCCTGCATTCATAACGCCGCTCTGTCGGCCGAGGAACCGAGCCGAGCTCCTCCAGCCCATCCTCGGATGATGCTTTTTACCACATAAACGACAAAAGAGAACAAGGGACTGTTGCTTCATTCTTTTCCCCTTTTACTTCGTTCTCTCTGGTCTTCATCGACGTATCGCTTTTAATTCTCTATTTCTCCAAGTGTGCATATTGTACACTTATTTTGGGAGATGCTTGTGATCGTGAATAATCCCTGAGAGTTTGATGTTGGTTGCTGTCTCTTCCTCTGTTGTGTGTGGTGTAGTGGAAGCGGTGCTAATCGGAGCGGCTGTGATCACGTAGAGTCCTCGTAAGCGGCGGTCGGTCGCACCACGGTAAACCACAGGTAAACTGTCGCTTTCTCTTTGTTAGAATGTATTGTAAAGGTCCAAACCATGAACTATCCTTTGTTAATATTGACAGCTATATTTACACCTCACCTGTATTTCAGCAAACTACGATTAAAGAGGAAAATATCAGCTTTTGTCAACTTAATTTGCTTTCCTGGAATCACACTGACGTTAAAGGAAATGTGAAATATTGTCTTCAGTATACAGTCCAAACATTTAACAGACATAAGCTTGTTATTTTTGTCTTATTTTATATACGATTATAATATTTGTGTTTTTTAACATTTATATTTCGGTTTTTATTTTATGCTGAAGTTTTAGTAATTGTGTTGTCATTTTTAGCAAATATTTCTATATATTTAATTTGTTTCAGTTTTATAAATCAATTTAAACTCATTTCAGGTAGTTGCCCATTTATTTTATTTCAGTTTTATTTTATTTTCAGCTCGTTAGCTAGACAGTTAGCATCAGCTAACATTGACTTATTTTCAGCATGGTTATGAATAAACATGTATATTTGTCTACTCGGCTAGTTGATCCAGATACATAGTAACTTAGGTTGTTACTTGTGAGTTCAGTTCACTGAGTCTCGCACTAAACGAATCATTTGAATCAGTGAGTCGTCGACTCGAGAACAGCTGCGATCGGATCATTCCAATTCGTCAATGAATCGTTTGGTGCGATTTGCGAACCGATTTAATGGGTTAATTGAAAAGAATCAGTTCGTTCTTGAATCAGACACCGCTTCTGCGTCTCGGAGCACGTGATATATTATAAGGAGTAACGATACGTTTTATGAAACGTAGTGAAGTGAAAAGTACGATCTTATGCTTTGGAATGTAGTGAAGTAAAAGTAAAAGTTACTCAAAATAAAACGACTCCAGTAAAGTACAGATACTTGAAAATGCACTTAAGTACAGTAACGAAGTTAAACTACTAGTCTGTGTAGCGCCCTCTAGTGGTCGGGCTGGTAATGCCTCGCTCATTAGTCCAGTTCATCTCCATCAAAGCAGATCATTTGCATATCAGCTGCCTTAATGCTTTTTTAATGTTTCTCTGGTTCTCAGTGACTGTGGCTGATGAGGAAGCTGTGATCCTCCAGCTCCTGAGCTTTAATTAGCCCAGATTAATCGTTAGACTTCATGAAGACTCAACAGCTGCTTCACATCCAGTGACACACACACACACACACACACACAACACTAGTGTTGCTTTCGTCAACGAAAATGATGACTAAATATCGTCGTCAACGAACCTTTATCACGTGACGAGACGAGACGCAACGTAAATGCTGGTCATGTGACGATGACTATAATTAAATGTATAATGCAATATTGTTGACGAATAAAAACGAGACTAAATGTGGTTTACAAAATAAAAACTATGCTAAAATGTCTCTTCATTTTCGTTGACCGATACGAAATGTTATAACGTTATTTCGTCTGGTTTAGTCGCGTTATTATTATTATTATGTTGCAGTATTTCTGTTTCCGGCGTCTCGCTTCAGGGGCTGCATCAGGTTCCTCACACCCACTCGCCGCATTATTTAGAGCAGTGTTTCCAGACCGGGGTGCCGTGAAAAAAATCATTTTTGAATATTTTTAAATTGCTAAAATGTTCAAAAAAGCAGCTATTATATACTATCCATTTCTGATGTCGCCAATAATTAGAGATGCACTGAAATTCCGGCTGCCGAAAATGAGTTCGCTCAGGATTCACTTTCACGTGGCGTGACGCTCTGTGTATTATCCGCTCTGTGCGTGCACGCTCCACTCGTGTACCGCTCATGCTCATCGGAACAGCAAAGTCCACTTAAAAATCAAACTTACAGCACACGTGGATGTAGTGCAGTACTGTTTCTGTCTGCAATAGCCCTACTGTGTGTAACGTGGTGTGGTATATGAGCAGCTCTGGTAACTGCCCTCTCATTCATTGATCTGCTAACCGCATGTTATGCTCACGTGTCCTCTGATAATAATAGCTTTCTAGGATTAAACATTATTTGGATAATTGGTAAAAAAAAAAAATTTCTTAATAGCCCTCCTGGGTGTTAGACCTACCTGAAAAACTAAAAAGCTATTTATTTCATTTGTAGGGCTATCATGATTTTTTTTATTTGTGCTATCATTAGTAATTTCTTTATTTGTTCTTATTTTATTATTAACTGCTTAGCCTCCTTGTCATTTTTTATTCAATTCAAAGTTTTAAATCAAGCTATCTCGTGCTACTGCACCACAATTACCCAGCTGTAAACTCAAAAATACACTAAACTGTGTTTAATTAGCATTATAACTAGCTATCTCACAATGTTTACATATGAATAAAAGCCTACATTAAAATCTGTCATATAAATTGGTCTCTTCACTAGAAATGAGTCTACTGATCGCCACCACTGATAGACACATTTATTTTATAATATTAAAAATATCTGTATGACATTATATTCTGCAGTTCTTCTGTACCGAATATCTACACTTTTCAAATTATCACATCGAAGTTCAATTCAAATTTAATTCAAATATTGTGACGAAATTAATTTTGTAGGGTGCCACAAATTTATTAGAATTTCCAAAGGGTGCCGCGACTAAAGAAAGGTTGGGAAACACTGATTCAGCAGACGAAAACTTTATTTAAGTTTATGTGTGTGTACTTCTAACATGTTTGGTTGGTAAAATAAATGTTGTAAATTCAAATCCGAGCGTCTTCCGTGTCTGGAATGGATGTATTCTTGAGTCTATAAGGTAACAATAATATAATAAGATAACCTTGTTTGAAATGGGTTTGGCT